TTACGTTTAGTTACGTTAAGGTTAGTGGTTGGTACGTATTATACTTACTAGTATAATTAACCGTTAGTACTATTAGTATACTACTACGTCCACTAATATATATATATATATATATATATATATATATATATAAAACTTTTTTCCATATATAATTTTAAATATAGCTACATGTACATATACAAATATATTTGTACACATGTATCTATGCACCACAAACACACATGTGATGGTGTGCTCTAAGACTGTTTGCCTTTGGTAGGAGGTTGCAATAACTCGTAGCCATCAAATGTGAACTCGGGTGGCTAGGAGCATCTCACAAAGTTCGTTGACAACCAATGTTCGCAAAATTTAACCGGAACGGTTAACCGGTTTTGGGGTTGGGAGTGGTTTGAATCAGAATCGGACTAACCGGGGCAGTTAACCGTTTTAACTGGTCAAGTATTTTTTTTTATTTTTTAAAAAGGTAAAGAACGTACAACAAAATTTTAAAAAAATTGAAAAAAACTAGAAAAACTTAGATTAAGTGTATGCTATTATATTACTTACATTTATCTTACAAAAAAAATTGAAACAACTTTTTATATAAATTAATATTGAATACTTTGAAGATATGCAAGACAATTTAGAATTTGACATTAATTTAATTAATGAAGTTACAAAGTCCAACTAACAATGCTAGTTGTAATGAGAGTGGCGAGGGGGATCATGATATTGTTGTGTTTCACTATCCGGATTTACAGGACGAAAAATCTGAGTAAAGCTTGGTGGAGTTTGTAATGCCGCAGTTGTGCCCCCTCTTTAGTCAGGAATATTTCTTGTGGTACCCCCTTGGCCAAAGTCTCCTAGACTCGTCCAGCCTTCATGCTCTCCGCCACCCTGTTCTGTGTTACCCCCACCTTGTTCTGTGTTACCCGCACCCTGTTCTGTGTTACCCCACCCTGTTTTGTGTTATGGCCCTCAACATCTTCAATATTGTCATCATCATGAATAACCAGGTTATGGTGACGGCTACGGCTTCGTCTCTCCCTTGTTGAGTAACTCCTATGCCTCAATGCCTGGACTTCCTCCCGAGCCAATCTCATTAAATCTTTCTGTTCGTCAGGCACCGCTTCATGTTGGTCCCCTTCACATTCTTGGATGATTGGTTCTTGCCAATTGTTTTCCATTGTCCCATCTGTTTCATCATCCTGTGCTTTATCTTCATCTTGTGTATAATCGTCATCCATGTCCATTGTCATGTCTTCTTCATTGGATGCTGCAACATTCACATTATCATCCATATCGGCAACTGCACCACTAAGAAAATCTTGGTCTAGTAGTGGGGTCTTTAGTGACACCCACTTCTCGGCGAGGTCCCTCTGGAAGATGTAATCAAGGTTGATCGGCGTGTAGTCTGTGGGGGTCCTCCTTATATGTTTCTCTTTTAATTTTAATTATAATGAGCGTATACTAAGTTGTGCAACATCTGTGTCTGTAACCTATTCCGCCTCAGGGCATGTATCCACTGAAATGTACTCCAGTTTCTCTCACAACCTGAGGTAGCACAGGTTTGACTCAAAATTCTAACGGCAATCTTTTGCAATTACTTTGTTCGAATTCCTTGTATCGTGTATCATTGTGCTGACACAGACAAACATAGAAATACTTAACAATAGAAAATAAGTTGATTTAAAAAAAACCACAAATAGTAGTGTACTAAACTATTGCAAGTTTTAACTTAAAACTAACCTGGGTGCAATTTTAGAGCTGCTTTTTTGGCATTGTTGTATGCAAATTCCCCATTTTTTTCCATGTACATGATAAGCTAGAAATAACAAGATGCATATACAAGAAATTAGTACTACATAGACATGCAATTCACACGTTTTGATTAAGGTTTACCTGTTGCATACACTCCATCTGAGTTTCAAGATCAGGTTCAAGCTTGTAGATGCAGTTTCTTACCCCCTCCATGATATCTGCATCATCTAAAGTGGCATTGGAGTACAAATTTTGTGGATTAAGAAAGAACCCTGCACACGGTTTGTTATATTATTAATTACGGTAACTTTTCTCGGAGTAGAGAAAGAGTCATGAATTGCGACAGTGAATCATAAATTACCTACTGCATGGATATCCCGGTGCAGTTGGTCTCTCCACCTACGATCAACAATCTCCAATATCTCTTCATTCCATGTGTTATTCTCAAATATAACTTCCTTTGCACGTCTCATTGCATCGAATAGAAAACCCATTGCGGGTTTATCATCAGAGTCACTTAACCTCAACATCCGTACTAAAGGTTCAGTTACAGAAACAACATGGTTACATCGAGCCCAGAACCTCCGATCAAGAATGGTGGTTTCAACCTGCTTTCTAAGTTGACTCATTGCTGCCCTATCAGTCTGCCATTCATTAGAGCGTATCATTGACCTCAATCCTGCCTTGTTTACCAATATCGATTGTATCGTAAGGAACACTGTAGCAAATCTAGTAGTGGCTCCCTGACAATCTCTCGCATGCAATGCTCCCTCATCAAAGCATGAAGATACGTGTGATTGTATATAAATCTTGTAATCAACTTGCTCTTCAAAATACAATATTTAACCCTCTTCAGCTTCCCTATATCCTTGAGCATCAAATTAATACAATGGGCAGCACAAGGAGTCCAATAAATATTGGGTCTTCTCTCAATTAGCAACAAGCCTGCTTTTCTGTAATTTGCAATATTATCAGTCACTACTTGGACCACATTTTCAGACCCAACCTCATGTACAATTTTGTCTAGGTGTGCGCATATCAGTCTCTCAGTATGTCTCTTTCTTCATAAATCAATGCTAGAGTGGTAAACAATGCCCCTAGGGCAACCTATTAAAAAATTGACAAGATACGTATTGGACTTGTATTCCAACTGTCAGTCATGATGGTCACTCATGTACCTGGCTAGCAGACCTTGAACACTGCAATATACTTGTTAACATCATGAACAGTAGCTTCTAAACATGGCCCTGCAAGCTCTGTCGCAGTTGGACCTCTAACACCTGGTCCTGCCTCAGCTATAGAAGCTACCATTTGTGGGTAGAAGTCTGAGCTTGCAGAATTAAATGACAGTGCATTAGCATACCAGAACATGCTAATCATCTTTTTTGGTTTTTCTATTAATACACCTGCTGACGGAAATTTTAATTTTTTTTATGATATTGTGCCTTGTGGGGATCAAGTCCAGAGGGTTCGCGGGTCATTGATGACACATCTATGGGTTCATGCTGTTGAGTAGTAGATGACTGACTATAAGAGGATGGACGACTAGAGAAACTACATCTCAATTTAATATATATGAATCTAAGCAATGAAGACCCACATCCTCCACTATCCGGTACTACATGTTCTTGAGGTTGACGGCTATTGGATGCACCATCCCTTCTCCCATACATCTCTTGAATTTTCATTTATTTATAATTAAGCTCTTGAATACTGGCAATCCTAGCTCGTTCCATTTGCGCCTCAAATTCTACCTCTTGGTCATCTTTCTCATCTATTGGACTTTCGTACCCCTTTCCTATCTCCTCTGCATCCCTTTCTCTCTGTACTTTTTTTCCTTTTCGTTCTGTAGTTATTTTTATCATTTGTTGTTTTACTTCTGGTGGCACTTCTTTACAATCGGTGACATTACCTTTTACCCAAGCAAGATGTTCTTTTAGGCGATAAATACCACCACCCATTTCCTTGTTTCAAAAATTACATCGAACTCTTCCTTTGTCATTCACTTTTGTACTATACTGCCATGTCACATCTCCCCTTCTCATCTTATTATTTTCTTGTAAATTTTCTTGAATATAAAAGTTCATTAAAAAAATATTTATTTGGGAAAATCACACTACCAAGGGGACCTTGTAAGCATGGATATTTAAGCCCTACTTCGCATGAAAATGAACAAGCGACAATAACATCCAATAGAAAAAAAAATTATAATTAAGATGACCATGAATCACCATGCCATTCAATTAATATTTCTCAATAAAAGACATGCATGTGTGCCTCTAGACCATGAAAGCTGAAAAAGCCATGCATGAGGGGAATGCATTAAGAAATGTGGTGAAATATGTTTTCTAGAGGGCTAAGGTCAAGTAAATCCTTCAATGGGGAATATGAACAAAAATAAGTGCCCAAACCTTTCCCAAAGCACATGGTACACCACGAAATTGAATAAGAGCAGCAACCTATTAAACAAGAAGTAATCCATATAAAGATACCTCAATTCCTGATGAGCAGTTTGCATTTCATGATAGTGACCCTTGCCATGAATATATATTCAAGGTAAAAAGTATTTTTCAAAAGTTTCTAAATGGATGCATCAGAAGGGAAAAATACATCCACTTTCCAAAAGTGGAATTTAATACACTCCTTGCTATAGGTTTAAACT